ATGCTGAGATAAGTCAGGTGGGGGCCGCCACACATAGATATAGTAGCCCTGCTCAGGGTCAGGAGAAGGAAGAAGCGGGAGAATGCAAATAAATAACAACATGTATTAGCATTGATTGCAAAATAGGAAAAATACCTTTGAATTTTTCTTTCTTTCTGTGGAAGAGATTGGTTTGAAACCATGCATTAATTTCTGCAGCAGCTTAGTAGGTAAAATATTGTCAAAATTTAGAGACAACCACACTTCTCTGTCTCCATTTCCAATTTTACTTAGTGTTTTCTGTCAGAACCTAGATCATCCCTTCTCTGGGACAGAATTTCACTTTTCTCCCACTCTTACAGTAGCAGAATCCTGTGCACCAGCCATACTTACCTAACAGGTCTGACTGGAGTCATTTTATGCAGTTCTTGCCTTGGGGAGCTTGTGAGCTGTGAAAAACACAGTGACCCAAAACAACCTGCTTAAAGTATTTTTAATCATAACAGTAGGAAAATAAAGGGGCAAGGGAAAAAGTTTAAAACAGTAAAACAAAGAAGTCCTTCATACTGCTCTATCTTACCAACATTTTTTCCTACATCTACATGGGACCCTTATATATCTGTCTTAAATGCCCCCAGCACAAAAATTCTGTTTCCTTCCCCTCAAAAGGTTATGCCTTTCCTAATGCCCCTGTCTTTAGGGCTTTCCTTTTCACAGGCAGTGCTGAGAGAGCCAGTCAGACTGTCAGATTTGAAAAAGGGAACCATTCTTTTGGAACCTTTGAAATACTAGCTTTAACAAAGACACTACTGTCAACTGCAAAAATTTAAGATTAATCAACGGTAAAATGTGTTGTCCTGCATATACAATCACATTGTTATTAATAACAAACAGTTTGATCACTTTACTCAACATCATCTATTAGAGTTGTAATCTCTCATTCAAATTCTACTTTAGAATCATTGTCCTCTGCTGCTTGTGAACATCTCACAGCATTTAAACATGGCATGCTCTCCTTTAGAAGCAGTCATGTGTATAACTTGCCTCTGAGCAAGTAGGTTGCTTAGAGCCATGATATACAGCCATTTATAAAACTGTCTTCTGATATGCTTATAGCTATCTGTAACGAGTACTACTAGTGTTATTTATTAACCATTCATTTATTTATAATTGTTGCATTCAAGGTAGAAAGAAAGACATCCAAAATTTGATTGTATCAGAAAAGGTTCAGTGCAACCAGGAGCAAGTTCCCATAGTCATACATTTCTAATAATAGATTACATGATAGATTAGAATATGTTGTATTGGTAGGTGTCCAGTATAAAATACTGCCTCACAAAGACTTCAAATTGTCTGGGTCATCTGTGTCAACAATAGGTTAACCATGGGTTCCACTTCTGTGTCACATATGGCAATAAATAACATTTTTGCATGAGCCTAAAAGGTTGTACAAGGTTCTAAAGGCATAAAATCAAAGTGAGGTGTAGTTCTATGTACAGATATATAGAAAGTACCAATAAGTCTTTATATGAATTGCTATAATGCAATGGGGATTTCAAGACGTACTAACATTTTACAATGGCACAGACAGTTGTAGTCCCCAATCCAGTGTTTCCTGCTTCTTTCAATTAGAATCTTTTAAATGTATTGAATACAGCAGGCAGAACCTGTATAAAATCAATGTAGTTAATGCCCACACCAAGCATAAAGAAGATTTAGAGAATTATGTTTCAAATCATGGCTGGGATTTTCAAAAGCATTTAGCATTGGTTTAACTCTGGTCCCATCAAAGTCAGTCAAACTACCTTTTTGTCACTGAGTTAGGAGCAAAAATAGGCCAACACTGCACATTTAAAAATCCTACCACATGTTAATTGAAACAAGAGACTGACAAGAGAGTGAATTATCAATTTTGCAACTCATCCCAGTTTCATAGCATTCTCTCACTACTCACTGCATTGATTTCAGTGGAATTGTTCAGTTTGTGATGATAGGCCTTTGTTCCACAAAAAAGTCCTTAGTTTTCTCATTCTGATATATTTAATACTTAACATTCTTTTCTTTCTTTTTTTTTTTTTGATTTATTACAAATCTATACAGAAAATTCAGGGCAGGAAAGTAGGTCAACTTTTTTAAGCCATAAATGTCAAGACACATTTATTCCATATGGGAACATATTAGCCATTGCCTTCTTATTTTAACCAAAAATGTTGACAGCCATTTGCACTCTGTTTATATTCAGTTTTATTTCTTCCAGGTTTTCTTTGCATTGGATATTCTTGCTGTTCAAAATATTTTCTTCAGAGGTGTAATGCTCTTAGTTAAAAACATTCTGCACAAAGTGTTGTAAGGCCTAGTGGTGTATTGCTGGATATATGTTCTGTAAAACATGATTTATACATAGAAATTTAAAAAATCACATGCAAAAAAATCCACCAGCTACCTTTGCTTTCTACAAACAGGTGCATCTTTTTTTGTTAATTTTATTTTAGATTTTTTTGTGTTGGTGCTCAAGAAATTGAAGACAGGATAACATTAGCTGAATCCAAGGAAAAATGTAAAATACCTGAAGAACAGTGTTTTCTTATAAATCTTCCAGTCCGTGTATCTCAGCATATCTCTCTAGCTGAGCTGTGCTGCTTAGAGAAGTTAAGGCTGTGCCCTCAGTCCTCTGTCACAGCTCAGCTGAATGCGGGGAAAATACCAACCCAATAGAGCCTATTCCTTCTTATTATTAGTTCCTTGCATGCACTGACTGGTAATGCAAGGAGGTGGCTTGTGTAGGTAATGGCATTAAGTGATGGTTTCTTTTATCCAAGTCAGAAAAATTAATATTTTAAGGTTGTAGTAGATTCCCTTTGCCAGAAGAGATCATCGCTTTTCAAAGAAGTTTCTTCTACTTTTTTATCATTCAGAAACAATCTGAATATCTAAGTGCTTAGATAACAGTGATGGACTCCCTATAAAACACTAAATAAAGGTTGAGGGTGCCCCTGGCTGCCCAGTCTCCAACTACACTTTTCCATAGTGTTCTTGCTACCCTGTTGTTGACAGGTACAGAAGCCATCCCAGATGTGGCTGATGTTCTCTATGAAATAAGATGACAAGCAAGATGCATTCTGTTTCAAGCTTGATTTGAGACAGTCTGAGTTTTCAAAGCTTCTTGCTGTCTGGAAGAGTTTGGAGAGTCAGCTGACTTGTTAATGAGACTAGGCTGGACTCTGGGTAGCATTAGGAGCTGTTTCTGCCCTGTGTCTAGTCTGTTCTGTATAACTCCTTTTGCTGCCCTTGTTACCATAGTACCTGAATGCTTTCCAGCTGCACATAAAGAACATAATATGTCATGTATTGTTTGTTCTTTCATCTCCTGCCTAGAAGGAGAAGGGTACACAGTGCAATGTTTTGGTAAGGTCTTTTGCTTATTGAGGGTGGTTTGGGGAAACATTTGTTTTTAATGTTCATGCACCTTTGCATTTGTTAGAGAAGGCAGGTCAGAGAAATGTATTTTGTGCTTGGAGTGGAAGGTGGCAAGGTTTGGGATGTTTTTTGGCTTCTGATGGAGCCCCGTAGTCTTGGTCCCAGTATCCTGTCACAATGACAGAGAGTGGATGCTGAAAAGGAGAGTGAATCAGGGATGACCTTATTTTTTTCCACTGTTCCTCTCTCACACGCAGCCTCCAGTGTTTAAGATCTAGAAACTGTTGTATCCTTAACTTCCACACTCAATAGCTAGTGATGCTCCTTTCCTCCAAGAATTTGTCCAATCCTTTTTTTAACCTGGTTAAACTGTCAGCTTCCACAGCATCTGGTGGCAATGAGGTCCACACTTTAATTACATGCTGTGTGGAAAATAATTGGTTTTTGTTAGCTTAAACATACTACTTACTAGTTTAGTTTTGAGAATGTTATTGTGCCAGAGGCATAAAGCTGTTGACCACAATCTCCAACTGCACTTTTATGTGGTCTTCTTGCTACCCTATTGTTGACAGGTAGAGAAGCCGTCCCAGATATGGTTGATGTTCTCTATGAAATAAGATGACAAGCAAAATGTATTCTGTTTTGAGCTTGAATTGAGACAGTCTGGGTTTCCAAAGAGGATTGCTGTCTGGAAGAGTTCTGCCACAATCAGTTCTTGGGGCTTTTTGTTTGTTTGTTTTTTAACCTTCCTGTTTTTTCTGTCACTGGCTTCCTGAAAGCCAGGCAATCTGCATGGGAAGAGCTGCTTGAATGCTAACGTTATAGGTAGCAAGAGTCAAGGAGACCATGTCATGCCATGTTTCACTGACATTTTTATTCAAAAGCATTTGCCTTGATACAAGTTATTATGTAATAGTAATAGTAGTTTTAGAGACAGCACTAAGGTATCTAACTTACACTGCAGGCCAAACAGGAGATATAATGGTGACATAACACAGTCTATTAAATGGGTCATCAGTGATGAGGATCAAATCCATGACACAGGCTTCTAAAGTTATGAGCTTCTACTACCTAAGCTAAGGAACTGCTTTGTTAGCTTAAAGCAGTGATAGAATCATAAACCGTGGCGTCTAGCCTCGTGCAGGTGACAGAGAGCTACTCTGTGTAAGTGTGATGTCTGTCATAAAGTAGGTTTCCCAAGCTGCTTTTACCCCTGAATCCTAGAGCTCACACAGAACTGTTAAGCAAATCTATGGTTTTAAGACATAGTCTGCATCACAGGATGATGAGAAGGAGCCACTTTGGAAGGGGTGGAAGTATTCTTCTCCCTGACTGGCTCAGGTCTGGCTAGTGGAGTATATGAGATAGCCAGCCTTCACCCTCTTTGCCTTCTTTGCCCTGGCTCATGCCAGCACTAATTTTGGCTTGGATCAGCCTTTTCAATCAAGGAATGCAATTACTATAATTGCAGGAAGCCCCTATGCCTGGCTGTACTGGGAGAGGAAGCTAACGTCTTCTTGACTTCCTGTCCCTTACCTCTTCATTGGACCAGCCAAAAGCCATGAACATTTTTTATGTTTTTATTATTTTTATTCAGATCCATCCATGGTGCCAGACCATTGAAGTCACCACAGGGATGAATTTGGCCCATTATATTTTAATGACATTCTTCTTGAAGAACATGTTGTGGGAGCTGCAGATGTATGGTGTTTCTAGGAAGCACTGTTTATTTTCCAGCTAATAGGAAGCACAAGGCACTGGGACTGATGCGGTGCAGCCCTTTTTACAAGTGTTTAGTATTATATCTTATTTTCCTTTTCCCCCCACCCCCAGAGGATTATGCCCAGCTGTGCAACATTCAGTTTCCAGGATCTCGGCGACCATATGGAGAAGATGCTTTAATCGACTTCGAAGAACACTACACTCCAGAAACTAACCCGTACTTTGTTGAAGACCGTAAGCAAATTTCACTGTTATGTAAACTGCTTGAAATTAAGGTTGTAACTTGGATTACTTCCCTGTAGTTGGCTCCATTCTTCTGTTTGCTTCTGAGTAATATGGCCTATTTATGTTCTAGTTATTCCTCTGACATTAACTCTCTGTCAGGTGTTCTAGTCAAAGAGCCAGGGTTATAAATGAGCCCAACTGGGCTCAATGTCTAATATTATCTTTTAATATAATGAAATCATATATGCCAATAAAATGACATTTATATTTACCAACAGATTTATTGCTAAACATCCAAAGAATTGTTGGTTTTCCTTCTCACAGCTTAATTTCCTTTAGAGCATGCAACAAACTCCTTTGGGGTGTATTTAGAAAAGAAAAAAAAATCTTCATGTTAGCATTCAGTGATTTTCCAGAAGAACCTGTATGGTAGGTGGAGTGTGCAAATTGCTTCCACTCAAAGAGTAATAGCCTAGCACAGCAGGATCGCAGTGCATGATGTACCTGGGCTTTTAAATTAGAATGCCAATGCACACATGCATCAAGTAGGTCATGAGGAAAGTAAATGTCTTGCTAGAGAAATCTTAGGTAAGGAGAGTTTTACATTTATGCTTCAGAAAACACATAGCTCCTTTACTGAATAAAGGCAGACAGCAGGGTAGAGATGCACCTTATAGACTAACTGAATCAGAGATACATAAACTTTATCGAATAAAGGCCTGATTCAACTCATTTCAAAATGAATTGAAAAATTCCAGTTTATTTAAATGGATGTTGAATCAGACCAGAAAATGTGGACTGTCTTCAAATCAGTTTGATACCTGTATTCTAGGCCTAAATTTGGTCTAGCCTATAGCCTCATTGTCACTCCAGAAAAAAAATGGAGGCAGCAGAAAGAACCAGGAATTTCAATTGCCTTTGTCCTTTTAGACTACAGCTACTATTTGTCTCATTCCCAAAGCATCTGTCTTATACAATGTCAATATTTATGCTGACAATGGGTCAGTATTTAAAACAAGGTAATAGAAATCAAAGTGATAGTTTTGAAAGGGCAAGAGGACTAGAGTGAGGAACAAGTGTCTGAAATATATTCCTTTCACTAATTGCATTTTATATCAGTGCATTCTACAGAAAATGGCCTAATTAATTCATTCTGATATAGACTAGCAAGCTTTATACACAGTATTACAACATTAAACCTTTTTATATCCAGATTATTTTAATTACGAAATACTGTGTGTGGATCTAGAACTAAATGGTTACATTGATTAAAATGATCAAAGCACAATGGAAAATGCAGGAAAAGATGACTGTGATGACTATCATGGCAAAGAGATTTAGTGGAAGGGAAAAAAAAGTATTTCCTCAAATTATGAGCAATGATAAAAGATTTTCCATGCATAAGTGGTGAGAGAAAACTGAGTCATGCTAAGAAATATTGAGAGATGTCAGAACTCGCTTTCTCTCACTTTCACATCCTGCCACTAATTCAGAAACAACAGTGGAAAATGAACAGAGGGTAAAACCCCAAACACAGCTGTGTGGCCTTCTTCTGGCCACAACTAAATCAACTCCACATGCTTATGACAAATACTAGCTTACTGCAATGTGAAATCATGACAAGTACCCAGGATTTCTATCCTTCTGGATATTTTAGCCAGTTGCTGTTGTTACTATTGTTCATTATAAATATTTATACTATAGTAGTACTCAAAAGGCCCTATTAGGTGTAAGACCCATTGTGAGCACTGAACAATCCCAGAAAAGGAGTAGTCCTACCCTCCCCTGCAGGGCCTGCAGTTCAGAGCCTGCACACCAGTTAAATATGTTTTAACTTTATTACCATCACACTCCGTTAGAACTACACACAAAGTTTTGTTACTGGCTGCAAACAAGTCCGGAAATAGATGTGCAAGATGGCTTGGAGTGCATACATTCTTGTTTTAACCAGTTTTAGCTGGTTAAAATTTCGACATGGTACATGTGAGCTCTTTGTAGAATAAATGATGACTTTCATTTGTAAAGAATTTATTTAAGAGCCCCACCTTTTCCCTTCTTGGCAGTATTTGTTTTTCATAATTAGCTGTCTGTATGAGGGCCCAGAAGAGGCCTTCTATTTAAAGGAGCCACACATAGCTCTGTAAGTGGACTTAAAAATATAATGGAAATGTGAGATAAAGTTTCCTGCTACTTTATAGTAAATCAAAACAATCTACTCAATGCATTTGTCATGCTACTGCATCTTCCTGTCATTTTAACAGGAAACTATGTAATGGTCCTGACTGTATATGAAGGTATGGACTTCATTTCATATAAACATACATTCATGTGCATTTCAGCAAGGAGTCCCCACGTATTTGCTATATTATTCTGTTCCATGTCTATAGAACTGATGAAATACTGATTAAATACTCTAGAAATTCACCACAGTGTATCAGTTGGCATCACCTTGTGAGCACCCAAACACCCTGGAGGTATTGATGTCAGACACAATGGAGCTGCCCAAGCAGAGGACATGGGGAGTGAGGACAGAGGGAGTAGAGGGGGAAAGGTTGGGAATGTCAAAGAAAATAAGATATAGGGCAGGATGGAGCAGAGTGAAAAAAGTAAAATGAGAAAGGCATAAAGGCCAATGTGACAAGACAAATGAAAGAGCAGCAAGAAAGGGAGAAAGGAGTAAAACAGATAGTTCAGCTGTTCTGCTTATCAAATCCCTGTAGCCACTAATCCCAAATCTATAAACAGGTTTTAGATATACCTGTTAGTTCAGTTAACATATGGATGTTGTTAGGAAAAATGCAGTCCAACCCTTTCCTTCCCAAGTGGTACAACTCAGACTTTATGCTTTTCCCAAAGCCTTTTGGTATGGTTGACTGCCATCTACAGTTCTGTTTGAACACTGCCTCCAAGAATGGAAAGATAGCTACAAGACAATTGTGTAGTTTTAACTTGTTGGTTCTCAGATAGACAGATTATTTTTACTGAAATTCAGTGAGAAGTTACACTCTTTTATTTTAAAATACATGCAATCTTTGTCATTTATTATCATGTATCTGTATAGATGCCTAATTGTGGATAAGGGATCCTTCATAAGGGTAAGCTACTAAGAGAGAGTTTCCATTTAAGTCCCTACCCCAGAATCTTCACAGTCCAGGATTATAACAAGATGCAATTATAGATTATAGGTGCTTATACTGGTAGCCACCTCCTAAGTGCTATCCAATGCCTTATTAACCAAAACCACAATAGGCTGCTAGTCTCTAATTTCATTTTACTTCCCTCAAGGCATTTGGGAACAAAGATTTTTTTACATCTTTGTTATAAATTAATTACAGTGCAACTTTTCCCTTCTCCTTTTCAAAAGGTTATTTAAGAAAAGTTTGTTTTATCATTCTTTTCTTTTTTCAAATAATTACCCTACAATTCTCACTTTGCTGTGCTTAAGTAAAAGCTGATATAATTATAGGGCCTGGGCCAAAAAGATTTTTAATATAAATTGATGACTTGTTATTATGCAATTAATAAGAATAAGCATTGTCTTTAAAATGTGGATCAGAGATTTTAATAGTAGTAAAAAAGTGAGAGTTCAAACCATTTCAGCTTCATTTTTAAATATATCCTGTTGTGCTTATAGGGCACATAAAGTCTGTTAAAGCTGACCCATTTTCTATAAAGTTGAGACACTTCCCAAGACACCTCTGAGGAAATTGAAGAGTTTTACTAGACAATTGTACAGAAAGATTCAGAACTGCTCTGTAACTTATTTGTTTCTAATGTTTCTCCATCCAGGTTTTCTAAACAGCTTTGAGGAATTACAAGCAGAGGAATGTGGCATTTTGAATGGATGTGAAAATGGCCGATGCGTGAGAGTTCAGGAAGGTTATACTTGTGACTGTTTTGATGGCTACCACTTGGACATGGCCAAAATGACTTGTGTTGGTGAGCATACAGTGCACTGTTCCATATGCAGCTTTTTTTCTTTTTGAAACAAATTTACTCGCACGTTTCTGTGGGAGATACGGGACAGAGTATATCAGCAACAATTTACTTGACTCAGTAGTAATCGTAAGAAGAACCATGCTAGCATACCTGTATCATTTTCAGTACAAAGCCAACTATCATGGTAAGGTACCAAGATGCACGTTAATTCAATCTTATTTAAAATATTTTTTTAAATACTAAAACTACTAGTATGTATTAGCTAGCTTGCTGTAAAAGCCTAGCAGATATAAGACAACAGTGGTTTTACTGAGCTTGTAGCGGAGTAGAACAATATTACCCAGCTTACCCCCTCAGGTCACCTCTCCTAGCTACATCATGGTAAAAAATACCTGTCTTATATCGGCTACGATTTTACGGTAAGCTACCCCTTTCTGCAAGTGAAGGCATATCTCTAGTGTGCCCCAGTCCAATGCTACGGAGTGTTGCTCTAGGGGTGAGAGGGGTTCTGGTCTCCTCAGGTGCTTAGTCCTAAGGCTCTGTGCTCAGAGTACCAATTAGTGCCAAGAGAATTTCTGATTCTTTTTAATATAGACATCTAAGAATACTAGTGAAATAAAAAATGAGATTAGCTCACATTAATAAGTCATTGAACAGTCATCAGCTGGATATATGTATAAGTGAGTGTTGTTAATGATAGTTTTTATTTCCTAACAGCCTTACGCTGAATTCAGGCTGGCTGCGATCTGTGAGTGAAAGGCTCTTTCACCCACTAGTGATTCCCTGTGATGTCCATCCACTATTTTCTCCTCCATTTAAATTGTATGAATTACAAATCTTTGGGCCCAGCCTGACCTCATTCTGTCAAGTCTGAAGTTAATATTAAGTTTCCCACTTTTTCATTCAACACATTCTATCATTGCTAATGATACAGTGGGTACAGTGATACAATCTCGTGCTTCTGACAGGAAATAGTCTCTGTGGAAAGAAAAGGCTATGTTAGCGTGTTTAGTTCATTCATTGTTTTATCTACATGTTCTGGTATTTCCTTCTGCAGATGTAAATGAGTGCAACGAACTGAACAACAGAATGTCTCTCTGCAAAAATGCCAAGTGTATTAACACAGAAGGTTCGTACAAGTGTTTGTGTCTGCCAGGCTATGTACCTTCGGACAAGCCAAACTACTGTACACCACTGAACTCAGAAATAGACAGTGAACTGGAGTAAAAGAGAAGCTTCATAACCTAAGCCCATATACCCTGCACTGTATAAAGAAAAAAGGAAAGTATTTAACTTGAGATGAGGATGCATCTAATCTGAAGCATTGGCTACATGGAAAACAGCAAAAGGTGTCGTCTTGAAAGTGAAATGTGATGAGTTGATATACATCAACTTCATGGCAGTGACAGAGCAAATGGACACATTTCTCTATATGGAAGAAACAATCAAGTATATAGTGTGTTCATAAGAAAAATTAATTCAAAATAGGTAAAACAGTGCTGTTATTTTAAACAGAAGGGTTTTTTGTTTTTTGTTTTTTACTATTGCTTGATTAATTTGGCATTTAAATAGTGGTGAAAATATTTTATATTACTTCTTCATTTCTGATTGTGCAGTTCTTTGCCTACTGTTTCTTTTCAGATCTATTTTCTGATCAGTGCAAATCCTTTGATACAGATATTGTTAGGCCATTTTATAAAAATGATTGCACAGGGTAATGCTCCTCTTTGTCTGGAACATTGATCAGTGACTTTTTAAATTGCCAGCTGTCTGCCCTGTGGAGCAGGTGCTGTTTGTTTTCAATGTTTATACGCCTTGGAGAACAGTCCTTTATATGCATTTTGTATTCTTTATGGTCTTTTACTGCACTTACAATCTTTTAGAAACTTTCTTGCCAAGTTTCAAAGCTGCTAGTGGACAACCAGTGGATTCCTTTTGTACATTGAAACAAAAGATTTGAGCTCACGTCCTATTGTAATATGTAAATTGAACACAAAAGAGATCTTGTATGATTACCCTAACATATTAAAGCTGTATATTAAAACTCAATAAAAATCACCTTTTTTTTTAGAAAAGCGGCTGTTCACTAATCGTAGGCTTTTTATTTCTTTCCTGGCTTTACTGATCTGTATTGGTATTTGTGTTATGAGAGTCAACAAGATGAAGCTGTTTACCTAAGTAGATCTTACTAATTGATATTCTCTATTCACAATTGGGATTCAATTACATTAGTGCAATTTTAAGGATCCGTCTTGCTGCTTGTTTCTTTTCTCATTGTTTTATGAATGCCATGACTTTTGTGAATGGGTACCTGAAGCTGGGCTTACGGGCAAGATTTTGAAACACACCTAAGGGAATAAGGTTGACTTGAAAGTTAACTTTCACTGGGCCATGTGTTCCCAACTCCCTTACGCACTTCTGAAAATACCCCTGCTCAATCCTTAGGCACTTACATAAGTGGCCTCATTTTCTCAAGTACTGAGTGGAATCAGGCAATTTTTTTGGATAGATAATACATTATTAAATGCCAAATCATTTTGTGCCTTTAGTTTTTAAATGATTGTTTAGTTTTAGAAATGCTGAAATGTTTTAGCTTTGCCATTTTTCAACTTTTCTACTTTTTTTTGGAAATGGCATTTTTCATTTAACATTTTGCCTAAATCAAAAGAAAAGAATCCTCAGAAAACTAAGCAAAACATTTAATTTGGGGACTTCACCAAAAATGTCTATTTCTGTTTAATCCATACAGAATCATTTTATGACTTTTTTTTTTTGCTTCAGCCATTCAGCTGAAAAATATTTTCGGTATCTATCTCTAGTGCTAAGAACTAGCTAGTTCCATTAAAGTCAGTGCAATTTTCCATATAAATAAAAGCTTTAAGCCTTAAGTAACTGTTGTACAATGTAGCTGTTAGAGGGGAGGGTCATGCTGGTGAGGTACTATCCAGTAGGAATGATTAAGACACAGCAAAAGAAGCAGGAATGGTGAGACAAGGTATGGTGGAGACTATAGTGAGCAGGAAGCAGGCAAAGGAAAAAGACCCAGAAGCAGGAAATAAAGCAAAAGAGACAATCGTGGGAGGGACTTCTAAGAGAAGGAGAAACAGGTGTTTGGAATAGAACGTCAAGAAGTAGAGGGGGGAAAAGACCATACTTTTGTTCATATTTGTATTACGTGCCTAGCTGACACAAGCCACAGGTTCCACTTCCCTCATGCTTTCTCAGCTGGAGGCAAAAGTTTTTCCTCTTGTCCTAGCTGTAAACGTACAAAAGTGGCAGATAGGACAGAAAAGCCATGTCCTGTCACAGTTCTTTGTGGAAGCATCATATTTCTCAGGCAGGCGGTGGTGGTTCCGGTGCTTTAGGGGGAAAGAAAGAAGAGTGCAGTAGATGTGAAAACAAACAGGGTTGAACAAAGAACGGAGAGACTTAGCACAAGCTGAAAGATAAATGGAAAGAATTTCAATTGTCAAAAAGTAACGGGAGGTGAAAACAGACTGAGAAAGGACCTGAAAAAGCCAATGTCTTGAAGTGAAAGAAACCAAAGATATGAACAGTAGGTTTTATATAAAGATCATTATTGGCGACGTGTAGGGGGTGCATGCGGGTGCATATGCACCCCCTGAGATCGGCCGTGCACCCCCTGAAAGTGCCAACTGTGAAACTGGAAGTGCACTTCTGGTTTTACCACTGGCTCAGCAATTGGCCGCTGGGGGACTTCCCCTCCCCGTCACCAATCTGGTGCCCCCCCAGTCACCCATGAAGATCATTACAAAAAAGTTGGCATGAAAGCAAACCACAGGTCAAGGCCAGACCTTATAAAGAGCTCCAGACACTACGTGCTGAGCTCGTATGAAAATCTGCCAACTTAAATGTGTATGCAAATGAGGGAGAATGTCTGCTAAAAACCTGTCTGTGAAAGCCCAGTGGTGGAGCAGGAGAGAATGAGATTACATCTCTTAGTTTTAAGTGCCGTCAGCAGTCTTTCACACTGTGGCCCCTAAGAACAACTCTGTTCCAAAGTTATCATCAATCCCCTTTACATCAGACAGTCCCCAGCAAAGAATATTACCCATTTCCACAGCAATTGGAGGTAGAGCACACCTTTGCATTGAGCCTTGGCTCCCTTAGACTAACTCTCTGTTTCCCCCTCAGCAAACTCCAAGGTTTCCCTCTACAGTGGAGCTTTCACAAAATATTTAAATAGCTCTTCTTCAGTTTCTTCACTGGGTTTTTGGCCTCAAAACAGCTAAACTCAAACAAGAAATAGATTCCCAGTTTTTTGAAGGAGATGAAAGGATTGCACTTCTCCTCCTCCTCCCCACTACAGCAAATAGCAGCCAGGGACATCCAGCTGCTGGACCTCAGCTGGCAGTTATTGTGTACTCAGGGTCTACACCAGTGGTCTCCAACCTTTTAAAGTAGGAAATCACCTTTGGCATTTAAAAGCAACCCAAGATCTATTGTGCGCTGCCGGAGGCAGAGGGAGAAAAAAATCATTTGGGGGCATACCTCCCCAGCAGTAAGTCCCACCCGGCCGGGGCCCCATGCAACTTACCCTTGCTCCTGCTTCTGCGGCACTGTCCCTCACCATGGGGGATTCGATCTAGCCCCCGCCTCTTCCCTCTCCCACGGACTGACCTGCTGGGCTGGAGCGTGTGCATGCATGTGGGCACTCAGCCCCTGACCCCAGCCTCAGATCAACTCCGAGAGGCTCCTAGATCTACCGATGGATCGAGATCCACTGGTTGGTGACCACTGGTCTACATTGAGGCAGTTCGGTAAGTTGTCTGGAAGATCTCTTCAGTGAGACCAAGAGAAACTCAGTGACATGGAACTGGGGGAGAAGGGCCAGGTTTTCTCCAGGGTCTGCCCCTGCCTCTCCCCTAGGCAGGGAGCCCCTAATTCCCATGGTTTGCAGAGCAAGCAGGAAATTTCACTGGACTGTGCTGTATCTTGGGTGGGAAGGCATTGCAAACAAAAAAAAGAAATGGCTTCTTCTGACTGACATGGGGTAAGTTTAGCTTTTCAAGGAGTGAGAAGGGTATAAAACATCTCTTCTCACAGGCTGCTGATATGGAAAGTGCTGGCTCATGTAACCTTTCTGTTACTATGATTCACTTGTCTCCAGTGGCTCTGGCACCTCATTCGCATTTGGTTCCTTCTTAGGCCTGGACCCAGCAGCAGAGCACATGGTGGAAAAAGTGGTTCCAGTCATCTTCCTTGGGACAAGGACTTGTCTTTCCCATCCAGCCTCTCCAGAGCAGATCATTATGTGGCTACCCTTTTTCTCCAGAGGTGGAAAGGCAGGATCCATGCCTGTAGACTATTCATGCAGTCCCCCTAGTAACACTATATGCCCATCACAGCTCACTCTTCCCTCCCCCTTCCATTAAAGATCTGGCCCGCAGGCTGGCAAAGGGTATTGCTCATTTGTCCACTCTTTTTAAGGGACAGTAGAAAGTCCTAATATCTCTCATGAATCTCTAGATCTTCTAAATAAGAGAAATCTTTCAAGCAGAGGTCTTGACATGGTACCTCAGACGCTCAACAATGTGCCCCAGAATTAAACAGAAACAGGGAGCTAATTTCACAGGTATTTACTTTTAGAAATACAAAACACCAATGTATCCCAAAGAAAAACCATCTGAATTATTAGTTAGAGTTAAGCACAGTCAAACAGGCCAAGCGAGTTTCCTTCTTAAACCCGCAGTTGGAAGAATATGAGCCTCATTGGGACTAAAGTTGGCTACAACAGCCTCAGCCCCAAGCACACTGGTTTTTGTTGTTTTTGTTTGGAAGGCCTATATTCAAGGTGGAGGCATTGATTGCAAGTGCAGTTCCTGCCTTTCTGCCCATCAAAAAATCCTATGTTAAACATGCATTAACCTAAACCTCATTAGGAGACTATGATGATTATGATTTCCTGTACTTTGTACATGGTCCAAGACACATCCTGGGGCAAAAGTGACTCCTGCTGAGAAAAGTGGAACTTCAGCTTAAACTCCAGTATCCTTCTGCATATTTGGTGATGAACATTTTAGGGGCCATAAAGAAAAAGCAGTCACTGTGGAATTAAAAGCAGGTGAGAGTCTCTTTCTCCTTCCTGTGGATCTCCAGGCTACCTGAGGTCTTTTCCTTCAGATTCCAGCATGGAGGTTGCGCCTTAAGAGGGGGCTACTGATACTTTTCCTGAGAGGTGGATGCTCAAGACTGAGATTCACTGGAAAACCAGCCATCTTTTGTTCTGGGGCCCCCAAGGTCTAGACACATCCCTTCTCTATGAGGCACATTTCAAAGGAGTCCCTCATTTGGGGTGCAAGCAACCTTAAAAATGGGTATGTGATTCAAAAGAACTTGCACATGGCCCCTAGGATGAGTTTATCATTTTTCCCAGAATAAAGTAAAATAAACGTGGTCAGCAAAGCTCTCCGCAACCTTAGACGAGAAAAGGTACAGTAGTCCTTCTCCTATATATTAGAAAGATAGAACCAGTCCTGTACAGAAAGAGTTGTTTTGCAAAAGTAAGCGTGATCCTTTGTGATACATAGTATAGCAATGGTATGCAACCCATCTGGGGCCTCAGGTCTCAGCACATCCATAAGGAGATCAACACTCCAGGCAGATATTTAAATCCTTTGTTATGGTATGGATGTAATCATCATATCCATCTCCCTAAAAATTCAGAATGTAAAAATAAATCTATTGGAGATTTACAGAAGATGGTATCAGGGTGATTTACCCAGTGATACTTCCATTATGGCAACAGAGCTACTTTTCAACAGAGTACTGTACACCCTTTTCTTTACATGGATAGTCACATGTCATATCCCTTCATTCAACGGAACAAGATGGATCAAGCTGTTGTTGGTGTGACCTTCTCTTCACATTGTAAAAGGTCCAGTAGTCTTCATTAAAAGCCTCCAGAAATGTAGCTTTGAAGAAACAAATGAATGACCCAGTTTCAGCCTTGCACTGCTCACTTGACACAGAGGGCACATCCCCACGGGCATGCATGCGCAGAGGAGCGTGTTTCCCATGGGACAAATAGCAGCAGCTATTTGTGCTGTTGTTA